TGGCTCATATTTAAATGGTTGTCCACTAGGACTCCAAGATCCCTTCACAATTACTTTTATTTAGCAAAGTACCACCTATACTGTACCTGTGCATTTCGTTTTTGTTGCCTAAATATAGAACCTTACTCTAAGTACACTTATCACATAGCAGAAATAATCCCAGCTATTAATATGATTCAGTTCAGAAGTTCAAGAAGGAAATTCATCAGAGAGAAAAGCATGAAAATTAAGAAAGATTCTCTCAAGGGAAGGAAAAATACTAAATACAAGGCAGTTGGGTCTCCTTAATGAAATATAGCAAGTCTTGCTCAGCTGACATAAGGAAACTATTGTGCTGTTTCAATAATTACACCAGCAGCATACTTCTCCTACAGAGATTGCATCCCCACCACCACCACCACCACCACCACCTCTAATAACAAGGATTCCCTTCCTCTGCTAATATATCATTTGGAATTGTTCAAACAGCCATTCTTGGCTCAACTAGTGTTATCACCAGAGGCAACTGTTATAGGTAATAAGCAATCCAGTACCAACCTTCGTCAGGGTTATGCAACTTGGGGAATGTAAACAAGTTTTATTTTTATGCTTAGCAGATGATGCAGAACATTCCTCTGTAACCCTTAAACTTGGAAATGTTCAAAGCACTAACAATCCTATTGCAAAAGCAATTGTCTTTTAGTATTTTAGAGGGTAAGACTTCTTCTCAAATAAACTTTTGCAGATTGCGGTCAAATTCATGAAACTGTATCTTGGCCATCTATTCTATTTCACTGCCTGAAAGATTAATCCATCAAACATATTTTCTGTTGATTTTTCTCAAATATAAAACTGCACGTATCAAATGTACTCTGGATTCTTATTACCAGGAGGAGCTCTCTTCCAATTAGGATGTGTCATGTTCACCTGCATAGTGCAGTACTTGCCTCCTGGTTCCACTAGTGAGATTAAGAAGGCAGGAATGGGAATTTATTGTTTTCCTCCTCCTCTGTGAAATAATGTGACTTGTGAGAGTCATTGTTATGCAAGTATAGCAATAGCATTTAGACCTATGTGTCACCCCACCGTGCTTTACAGCACTCTGTAAAGGGTGGAATGGGGACAGAAAGTGCTTTGGATGAGAACGATAGCCATAGTGCTGTTTCCTTCGTGCTTTTTTGTGATTGTATAAGATGCTTTTTGTATAAGATGTGGATTCTCAGAGATTTGGGGGGAAAGTCTGATTCTCGAATTCTAGATATGTTCCATGTGTCAGTCTCTTTCTCCTCTCCAGTTCCCCCCACCTTCTAATAATTTCATCTGACATTCAAATCTAGTTTTTGAAGGAGAGCAAACAATAGCCTCATTGTTTGATGGCTTCAAGGAGAAAGTTACTTCTTATTTGCTTATTCTGTTGCTACCTGGGCTACAAAACCCTATAGCTCAAACTGCATTTGCTCGTGTTGAAAAAGGATACCAAGATTCCTTCAAGAAAACCTCCTTTTGGTGTTTATTTGTAATGCTCTACAATCTATATTTTTGGTCAGTTGACCTACAGGTTCAGGGGAGTGGTCCTGGGAATATCAATTAAAAATTGGGTGATTAAATAACCTTTAAGGTCTGTGCTTTCAAGGCCTCCATAGGTATTAAGTAAACCAGATAGGAATATATAGCATGCTGCCTTTCTAAAACAGGAAGATTTATGAGTTTTGCATATGCACATTTAGAAATAAACCTTAAAGAACTAAACCTTTTATATTTTTCTTAATAAGCATTCAGCAATGCAAATGCCCTTATCTTATGTTTTTTACAGTGAATTGTAATCTCTCAATTAGTTATCTTCGAATCAAAAAGTCCTGAACATCAGTATCAGATTCACTGCATCTGAATATTAAGAATGCTTTGTATTAATTCAAGAGTGTTTTTCTTCGAAAGGCAATTGGACTTTTTTCCCTTTGAGGAAGAAAACAATTTGCTTCTCATCCAAGAAACTTCATCAGTTCTGATGGGGGGTGGATGGGTAGGATGGAAGGATGGTTCCACCACAAAACCGCGGTAGACTAAAGCTCGCTCGACGAAAGCGCGTACATGACGTCATCACAGCGCGATGAAAACATCGCGCTGNAAGGAAGGAAGGAAGGAAGGAAGGAAGGAAGGAAGGAAGGAAGGAAGGAAGGAAGGAAGGAAGGAAAAGGAACGAACTAACGAAGGAAGGAAAGACTAATTCCCGCTTCCCCAAACAAGCGCCGCCGTCTCCCAGCACGCGCACCAACTCTGCCCCAGAAGGCACGGACTCCCTCCTGCGCCGCCTCCTCCTCCTCCTCCTCCCTCAGCACTCGCTGTGGAAAGCGCTGGAAGCGCTCGTTGCCCAGCTCGTGTGGCGCGCGGGGAGCGGCGGGGAGATGGCGAGGCGTCGTCGTCGTCGTCTCGTTCTCCAGTCAGCCTCAGGGGGATTCAGTGGCGGGAATTGGGGGAGGAGGGAGAAAAGTGTAGCTCTATTACAAGGTTTGTCCCCGTTTGGTGGGCGGATATTGGCGGCGGCGGACCAGGGCAGCGGAGGGGGTACCTCTCTACGGCGAAGTTGGCAAGCTTCCTCCTTCCCGTGTAGACTCTGCCCTGAGCGACGTGAAGGAGCACAGCCACCCAAGCAGCCTGGAAGAGCAGCCCGGCCAACATGACAGCGTCTCCCAGTCCGCAGAGATGCTTTGCTCCCTCCGAAGCCTCTTTCCCTGCCCTCCCCGCCCCTCTCTTTCCCCGCAGGCCCCCTACAGCATGGCTTGAACTGTCTGGACTCTTCCCACTAAAGAGGCGGCCGGGGGCGCTTTCAGGGCAGAGGAGGGGAGCGAGGATCAGCGCTGGCGAGCTGGGGGCAGCGGCGGCGGCGTGGGGAGAAAGCTCCTCCCCACGAGCAGGCTCAGATTGCGGCGGGGCTCCCCAGTCGGGTGTTCCGAGTGGGGAGGGGGGGAAGCATTGCCTGTGTGCGAGGGCGTGCGTGCGTCTGTACAAAAGGGTACTCGCTTCGCCCCTCCCTCCGGGGGGGGGGAGGCTGGGAGGCTCAGAGCAAAGGAACAGGGGAGGCCCCCAGGCTTCAAAACACAGCAGCTTTGTTGCTGCACTAAGAGCCCCCCCACCCATACTTTTTTTAGGAGTCTCCCTTTTCCACATCTGGCATGTGGAATGTCCCCTCCTCCCCTTTCCCCTCCCTGGGCGGCTTTCCCGTCTGGACCGAAGAGAAGCCGCGCCAGATAAAGGCTTCCAAGCGGCTCCGAGGGGGATGAGGACCCGAGGCGCATCCGATGTGAATAACAGACTAGGCTGCTGCCGCCCTTGCAATACATTGGGGGCCTTGTTCCAGAGAGGAGCTGCAAAGCTGGGGCCAGAAGGGGGGAAGGGGAAAAGCGGGGAGAGAGAAAAAATAGAAACAAAACAAAAGAACCCAAACCAAATCAAAATCGCTTCAGTTGCCCAGCTGTCCGTTTCGGATTTTCCACTGGTGAAAAAAAACAGGTGTTGCTTCAGGAGGTGAACAAAATACCAGCGGTACATGTTAAGCAGCGTTTGCATAAGCTTGGTTTATTGAAAAATCGATGCTTGCCTTATCCTGATAATATCTCAGCCATTAAAACTGGTTTACTAATGACAATCATTCATACAAGCTATGTCAAAACCAAGCAATCAACATTAAGATTTTAACGCCTGCTCCATGACTGAAGATTATCAAGAAGTGAACATTAATGTGTTTGAATAAAAACATAAAAAGAGCTTAGCCGGCACATACTCTTAAATAGAATCATTAATAGCTGTCACTAAGAAAAATAGTGCAATACAATACAATAGCAGAGTTGGAAGGGACCTTGGAGGTCTTCTAGTCCAACCCCCTGCCTAGGCAGGAAACCCTATACCATTTCAGACAA